TTCACATGCTTGTTAAAAAAAAAAGGATAGCAAAATTAATTAAACTGCCACATCATCTGACTTTTTAGACCAGCAGTTCTAAACCATTGTCTCCCTTTGCATCTTTTTAATTTTTCCTTCAGAACTCTCTACCACTTCTCTCACCATGGCCAACGAATAATCGTCTTTTTCTCTTGCCATCGACATCACTCCCACATCTCCTTCTCCCTAAACACCATCACCAGAAACCCACTTCTTCACTATCCCTGATACTCCTCATCTCCAGTCACCTCTACTCTTCTCCAGTCACCTCATCTCCAGTCTCACTTCCATGAGTTGCAAACCCTACTTCTCCTATGTTCCTGAATCTCAGGGGGAAGAAACTCCATTCTTAGGGGATGAAAGAACTCTGGTGCTTTTTGTGTCTCCGGTTCATGACACCGTCATAGAAGAATCTGTTGAAGAACCCGATTTTCTTTTAGCTGAAACAAAGCAGGTGATTATAGAAGAAAGAGGCTTTTGAGTGTGCCTTGCAGAAGAGTAAGCAGAGTATTAAAAAAAAGGGAAAGAAGTGGCTGATAAACACATTTCAGTGGTTGAGGTTGATAAAGATATTGTGGAGGAACCTAGTTCCTCAGTGAAAATATCTGCAAAAGGGTGTGGCAGAGAAAGATTTGTTTGAGGGTGACATTGTGGCTGTTGCAAGCAAGAATGAGAAGTTTATTGAAACACCTAGAAACAAAAGTGGTAAAGTGTGGGAGGACCTGGTTCAATGAAGACCATTCTAAGTGACAGTGGCCTTGGGCAGAAGAGTTAACTTAGAAAAAGTCTTGTGGGGTCGCACGCTTGCCGGACAATCTAGGAGATGGCAGGTATGAGACAGGTTCTGGACTTAGGCAACTAGTGGAGAACCTGCGGGAGAAACTGTTTGACTAACAGTTGTCTGCAACTACCCGCATGGACATAGCTCTCAAAACCATTGCTGCCTCCTCTACCAAGCCTCCCTCTTCTAGTGCCCCCTAGGGTCCTCTTAGTGGCCAGTTATCTTTTGCTCTGATGATTTTGTGGCTGTTGTTTCTCTTTTTGTTTGTCTTCTTGTGATGGCATGTTGGATTTCACCGTTGCTGCTCCTGTTGAAACAATCATATTTTTTTATCAGTAAAACAACTCTTTTTTTGCCTGTACAATGCTTGTTTTCCTTTTTGCTTCTCTTTTCTATCATGAATGTGTGCACATATGTGACATGAGTTAGCTTTGTTGGACTTCTTTATGCCTTTTTGTCTGACTGTGTCTTTTTGTTGATGCTAAAAGGGGGAAGAATCGAGTGAATCGAGTCAGAGGGAACATATGTTAGTGTCAGGGGGAACATATGGCAGGGTTAAGAATAGAGTCAGGGGGAACATATGCAGTTGCTGGTACCTTATCTGGTTAAGTCAAATAGTCATCAATGTTAAAAGTTTGTCATTATCAAAAAGGGGAAAATTGATGGGCTTAAGGTCTTTTAATCTATGTTTTGATGATCTAACAAACTTTATGTATGAAACCAGATAAAAGACCAAGAATGATAGTAAAAGGTCAGAGGGAACATATGGGGAAACATGTGTAAGTAAGGGCATAAAGTCAAGGGGAACCCGTGGTATCCTGTTATTCAATCCGGTTCTAAACTCTAACTTCTCGTATTCAATGCTAAGTTCGTCATCATCAAAAAGGGGGAAACTGATAGGTTTTCAATATCTTTGTCTTGTGTTTTGATGATCTAACAAACTTAATGTCAAGAACCAAATAGGGAACCTGACTCACTTGGATCATACTGTATCTAACGGATTCCAGCCAAATGTGAACTTGCTACAGCTTCAGGAGGTAGGAACCTAGACAAGGACCTGATACTCTTGTGTGTTCCTTACGGCAGTACAAAGTCAATTGGACACAGCTGGAAACAAAGATTATGCCGCACTGCACTGTTTCCAGCGCCCACTCATTCTCTGATCAACTAAAGTACAATAATTCAAGTTACTCAACTCAAGACAATCTGGGCAGTGTGCACAAGTACCAGATCAGGAACCTGATCCCTTGGTACTCCCCTAACAAAAGTACAAGTTAACTATACAACTGGAACACAACTGCAGAAAGTTACTGTCCGCAACTGTACAAAGAGGAACACAACAGGGACCTGGTCCCTTAGGGTTCTCCGACAGAAGTATAAAGTGACTGCCTGCAACAGTGCAGCAAACAGTGCAACAGTCACTTACCATTGAGATTGGACATCACTAAGGATGTCTTGTGTAGTATAAACCTTATGCAAGGCATAAGTTTCAGGTTCATCACTTGCAAATACAAAAAACGAAAATTCTCTCAAGTGCTCAAGAACCTCTCTCAAGAACAAAGCTGCTTCAATCTCAAGGACCTGATCCAAGATCGAAGATATCTTAAGTCCTTAGGTTGTTGAGTCTTTGTTATGTGTTCTTCATTGTAATTCCTATCCGGCTTTCTTAGAAGCATTGATTAGGTTGAGTCACAAGAAAAAGCCTTTATAACTGTAGTGTGACAAAGTGGCTTGTGGTGGAAACATCACAAGTTAGTCAAAGCTTTGTAACCATAGTGTGACAGAGTGGCTTGTGGTGGAAATACCACAAGTTAGTCAAATTCTTTGTAGCTAGGATAGTTATAGAGTGGCTTGTGATGAGAGCATCACAAGTTAGTTGAATTCTTTGCAATAAGGTTACTGTAAAGTGACTTGTAATAGAGAGATTGCAAGTTAGTGAAGCTAAAAGCCTATAGGTGTAAGTCGTGATTTTTTTGATCCCCTTGTGTGGGAATTTTCCACGTAAAAATCCTCGGCCTTATTTACATTCATCTTTACTAGCATTCACTACGGAACCCGATAAAGGACCAGGTACTCTACTATTTGGTGGATTCACACAAACTTAGCCCAGTACCAAACTAATATAGGACCAGATAGCTATACAGTTTGGTTCATCAGTATTCTCAGAGGAAACATATAGAGAACCCGGTTCTCTATACAATCCGGTGGACGCGCAGTCTCTAACAATACCCCTTTTGCTATTAAGGTTCTTTTGATGTGACTTCTGAATATCAATAGGTTCGAGCGCCTTTCCTTTCTGAATTCCTTGAATCTCTGCCCGTACCTGCTGAAGCTCGTGCCTCTTCAACTATTCTTTGTCAACTGTCGTTCTTTTACCAGTCCACGTGTCATGACATGTCACCTCATAATTAATTCTATACATGAGCTTAATTTTTCCCAATACACTCACTCCATGGCTAAAGTTGCTTCTTGCCGAGACAAAGCTGGGCTTTCTGCATTGATGGACAGACCTTGTTGGAAAATTTACCTGGTTTGACCAGATTCTGTTTAATGTTAAAGGTCAAAGGGAAAAAGAAAAAGAAACTACATCAAGTTATTTTTAAATTTCCAGTTGTAGCATCTCAATACTGTGACTTGCAATAAGGCAATTCATAATTTTTTGAGCTTGAATTAGGTCCTACTGGAGCGCACAACTAGCTGTATAGTTGTATCTATTGTTTCACTTATTATATTTTGCAAAAAGACAGTAATCAAATTTTCTATGTGAGCCGAAAAAGAATTTTTTTTGGATAAAATTAAAAATATTTTTACTTAACATTATGACTACAAGATCCTAGTAATAATATGTACTACTTTATTTATATTCTTTCTTTTTCCGTGAGGAGCTAAGAAAAGTTCTATTTAGAGAATGCGGCAGCGAAACTTATCTACAGTTTATCTACAATTTTCATACATTATTTACATCAAGTTATATACAACTACAATATCATACCACTTAAAAATAATTTTTATATAAATTTTATACAATATGTCTTTTTGTATATTTTGTATCCGATTTATATATATAGTAAAAATAAATTTCATACAACTAATTATATATTATACAACTTATCCACAACTTTCACACATTATTTCTACCCAGTTATATATAACTACAATATCATACAACTTAAATAGAATTTTTATACAATATTGTTCAACTTTCATATAATATTTAAATAAATAAAAAAAATATAAACAACATAATATAATTTTTCTACAATTTTATTACAACTTTACTATAATTTCTGCAGCATAATGTATGTCATGTCTTCTTCTTCTTCTTCTTCGAGTTTCAATCTGAAATTCAGCCAAAATCAAGTCTAATCTTCACCAAAACACCCTCAAAATTGAGATATAAACTCTAAACCATATTCCTAATTGTTTGCAACAACACCCAATCAAAACAAACAATGGTTTTAAAAAACCCAAATTCGAATTCAAAGCTTCAAAGCTTTTTAATGACTGTCAATGGTGGAATTGTTGCTCTCTTTTCCTTAGCTTTACATTATTGAAATTAGGGAATGAGAGATAGAGAGACGTAGAGAAAATTCCAATTCTTTGCAACAACACCCAATTCAAATAATTTTTTTTTTGAAAACCCAAATTCGAATTCAAAGCTTCAAAGCTTTTTAATGGCTGTCAGTGGTGGAATTGCTACTCTCTTGTGCAAGATATGTGGGGGAGAAGGGGTGGGATGTGGAGATATAAACGTGTGTGTGTGTGTGTGTGGGGGGGGGGGGGAGGGATACGGAAAGAGAAACGCGGGGAGTTGGATTTGTACGTTACAATGATTGTAGGAATTGATTAATTATCCTTAAATCATGAAAATGTACATAATTGGTAATTTTGTATATAGAAGGTAATTAAAGCGAAACTTGAGTAGGGAGAGTAATAAAGTTTCCAATAGTGTATAGGTACGTAAAAATCCCTAAAATAATTCAATCAAAAAAATGCATTATACACCCTTGACAAAGTCATTTTCCTTGGGCCCACCCCGGATGAGAAAAAAAAGTTTAACTCGAAATTCACAAAGAAATGGAGTACTCATTTAAGAAACTAATTACTCTTATTTCCTCCAATTTCAAAATTAAAAAAGAGAAAACAAGTAAGCGAAAAAAAGAATGAATACGCGCCTCTCTCTAAGCACAAAGTACGTTTCATTTCAATTTTCACCCAAAACTCCCCCTACACTTTTGATATTTCTTTGGGTATAATTTCTTCATCAAACCCTAGCATAAAATTCCCCTACACTTCACTCAAACTCAATTTTGTTTCTTTTTTCCATTTTTGCTGAATTGTTTCGAACTCAGTTTATTTACTATCTCTATTTGCATGGGTAGTAATGAATTGCCAGTAGTAGCTGCTCAAAAACCAGCAACGAAAACCAGAGTCTGAAGAGGGAAGAATAGAAGGAAATGGGGGATGAGAGTGGTGGGTTGAGTGCTAATAATAACAAAGGAACTGGACATGAAGATGAGAGTAACTCCTCCCCTTTCCCTGACAAGGTGGATTTTTTTTACTTATTTTCAATTTCATTGCCCCCCTCCCCCCTTCATTGTATACATGCTTGCATTAACGATAGTGTTTGAGCCAACTTGCTTACTAAACTAACAACCATAGGTACACTGTAAAATTCTTTTGCTTTTTTCATACACATCATAGGAAAGAAAGGGACCTCTCACTCAATTCAATAACATGTTCTAGGGCATATTATTATAAATTTGACCAAGTGTTTTAGACATTCCATGATTAAACCGACTAGCGGCACTTTCGAGATGCCACCTTGTTTATAAATATAAAAAAAGTCTTTTCAATTCCATTTGACTCGGGGCGTCAGGGACCCTCCAACAGAAACCTCATCCTTTTTGTCGTGGATAAGTTCTCCCTCAGTGCCCTACTATTCATAAGAAATACTGATTGTTGAGACACTGATTTATGAAAGCGTACACATGCTCGTATTAAGGTATTATTATTATTAAACTATTTCATTAGTACCTGCTATCTCCCACCATCAATGGTATGTATAACTTTGCCCGCCAAGGCTTAGCCATGAGAAGAAATCGCCTAGCACTTTTTGTATATGCTAGGATTTGAACCTTCCATATATGTGATATCTACTAGTAGTGGAGAATATGTTTTAGTCTTGGAGAAATCCCAAAATAAAATTATTGTTATTTTTACTATTGCTTATATGTATTTAACTTATTTTTACTTCTGTTTTATTTGATATTGATGATGACATGAGTGGAGCTTAAATGGAGAAGTGAGGATCATATAGCTGGCCCGACTTGTTTGGGCTTGAGACATTGTTGTTGTTGCTGGGATTTAGACCTTGATCTCCAAAGTTTTCACTCACTTCATTGACCGCTTTGCTACACACTTCAGTGCAAGTTATTCTTGATGTTGTGGCTTGTGATATAGCCTGTCAAATTTTTAATAATCTTATCAATATAAATTAATTAATTCTTCCTCATTCCATAAGGAGCGGATATGAATCATTTATATCCGCTTTAGAGGGTTCATTTAAGCTTGACTTTTTCATGATAGCTGTCAACCTATTGTAACCCTCCTATATGTGAATCTCAAATAGATGATTAAATGTTTTATGTCACCCCCCTATGGCTTGTTTTGATTATATTAGTCACTTTAGATTAGTTGCAAGCCTGTGATTCCAGGCCTGTATTAAGTGGATACCTGTATTGGTAGCTCATTATTTGGGGCGGTGATTCCAGTTAGTTTTGTGATTATGATAAACTTCTTTTTGATAAGGTAAATTGTATTAATCTAAAGGGAGAGAACTCCCGTATACAAGAAGTATACCAAAAAGTAGAGAATTTACATCAGAACATGATTCTCTACAAAAGACGCCCAATCTTCTATACAAATGGGGGCTATATGAGTGCACTAAAAAGCGATCAAAGATAAAAGACTATTCTTAAGATGTGAAAAAGGGAACTCTATCCCCTCAAAAGCTCTCCTATTTCTCTCCTCCCAAACTATCCACATGAGAGCTAGCGGGGCGAACTTCCACGCCTTTTGCTTTCTTCTTCTACGAAAACCGGCCCAGCTATGTAGCATTTCCTTTACAGTGCTTGGCATCACCCATTGAACACCAAAAAGGTTCAGGATCGCCCTCCACAAAGCCGAGGACACAGGGCAATGCAACAAAAGATGATCAACTTCTTCCCCTGAGCTTTTACCCATATAGCACCAACTAACAAGTGTAATTCCCCTCTTTCGCAGATTCTCAGCAGTCAAAATCACTCCCCTCGCCGCTAGCCATGCAAAAAAGCACACCTTCGTGGGCGCCTTAGGAATCCAGATCGAGGAGTATGGAAAAGTGGCCTCTTCTCTCACCAACATACTCTGGTAAAAGGACTTTACGGTGAACAAACCATCGCCTTGCAAACCCCATCTCCAAGAATCACAAGATGGCTGAGGCATGTCTTGCCCATATAGCTTTGTCAGTAAATCTTGGAGCTCCGCAATCTCCCAATCTTGCATGTTCCTTCTAAATGAGAGGTCCCATACTACCCCCCTGCATGTTCCTTACGAATTTGATGGACCATCAATTCCTTTTGGTTTGAAACTCTGAAGACGTGGGGAAGGAGACCCTCAGAGTATCCTCTCCACACCACCTATGATTCCAATAGCTGATTCTCCTTCCATCTCCCACCCTGTAAGAGATGTTGCCACCGAAGGATTCCCAATTCTTCATGATGCTCCTCCATATGCCACACCCGAAAGATGTTGTGATTGCCTTGGTCCTCCAACCCCCTCCCGTGGAATCGTACTTTTCTATTATGATAAACTAAAGGGGTCGAAGATACAAGCGTCATATTTTTATGAAAGTCACTTATGAATTGAATTGCTTGCACTTACTTTGTGTTTCTGGTTGGATTTGACTCTTAGGTGCAAGTAGGAGGGTCACCAGTTTATAAGGTTGAAAGGAAGTTAGGTAAAGGTGGTTTTGGTCATGTATTTTTGGGTCGTCGTCTTTCTAGTGGAAATGAACGTTCAATTGGTCAAGGGGCTGTGGAGGTATGCACTTGTTTTCTCCTTTTCCCTCCCAGTTTTCATGCTAGATAATTTGTTCTCCTCAAGTAATAGACGGGTTTAACACTCACTGATTTATCCTTTTTTTCAGGTCGCACTGAAATTTGAGCATACAAGTAGCAAAGGTTGTAACAATGGTCCTCCATATGAGTGGCAAGTTTACAAGTACGGATATGGATCTCTTTTGAAGTAATGGGTGCTCATGTTGGAATATGATTTTGACTGGACTAAACTTGTTTTGTGAGCAGTACTCTTGGAGGCAGCCATGGGGTGCCTAGGGTGCACTATAAAGGGATAAAAGGAGACTATTATGTAATGGTACGTGTAGTAAGTTATGCATTTTTCCACTATATGTGTAGTAGAGTATGCTTTTTCCATTTATATTAATTGACATAACCATTAAGATTGGCAAACTACAACTTTAAAAGGTTTAGTTGGCTTGAGTCAGAAAGTCAAACAGACTAACTGTTGACAGTTAGAAGTCAAGGAAGGTTTCTGTGGTGAAATGTTGAACAAGAGGGGAGTTCTTTTGAATTATGACCTTCTGTATGGGAGGTTGATGTAATTGGCCCATATTATTTTTATTTCATTGGAGGCCTTCAGGTGCTTGTTTTTACTGAGGGTTCTTTTCACTAGTGACTAGTAAAGACTGGTTTCTTAAACTGTGATTGGGTGGTTGCTTTGCTATGAGAAGGCATAGTCTCTTGGAATAGACTGGTTCGTTTTTTTTTCTTTCTCTTTTAGTAAATTTTTTGACTTAGATATTCGATGTGGATTGAGCCTTCGGTTTGCCTGCAGTGAGTGCTGCTACTGAGATTATTATGAATAAAGTGGATACTGGTTTATGTATTATTTGTTTTGGGTTCATGTGAGGATGCTATTGACCTCATTAGTTATATGCAGGTTATGGACATTTTAGGGCCTAGCTTATGGGACATGTGGGATTCCTCTGGGCAGGCGTAAGTAGCTAATGCTTATTTGCTCAGTAGCCTATATTTTCCTCCATTATCATGCATGTCATTAGCTTTTCTTTGTATAGCGAATATTCAGATGTAAATTTGGACTTCAAGCAGTAGAATATAAGAGCTCCGCTTAGCTTTTTTGCAATTGCAGGATGTCTTCAGAAATGGTGGCATGTATTGCAGTTGAGTCTTTGTCAATTTTGGAAAAACTGCATGCTAAAGGGTATAATATGCCCCTCCTTTATTTATGTCCATTTAGTTGTCCAGCTGTTGGTTTCATATTTTATGTTACTGACTTTTGAACTTTACTGCTGGATCCAAGTATTTTTTCTTGAATTCTTTCTAGTGATTGTTGTTCTTGACCTCAGCTACATTCATGGAGATGTAAAGCCAGAGAACTTTTTGCTTGGTCAGCCATCAACACCGCATGAGAAGAAGTTGTTCCTTGTTGACTTGGGACTAGGTAAGAGAATTTAATTTACTGTAATATCTTAACAACTGTAGATTCAGTATTCCATGTAATACTTTTTGAACAACCAAATTACAGCAACAAAGTGGAGAGAAAATACGAAAGGTCTGCATGTGGTATATGATCAGAGACCTGACATGTTTAGGTAAGTTATATGTGGTCTTATCCTTGGGCATAATTGTGATCCCTACCTCTCGTTCTGTTTATCAACCTTCTGTGAATGAATTTCTAGGGGGACTGTTCGGTATGCAAGTGCGCATGCGCACTTGGGAAGGACTGCCAGTAGAAGAGATGATCTGGAATCACTTGCATATACACTCATTTTTCTTCACCAAGGCAGGTTGCCATGGCAAGGGTTTCAGGTATCTGCACTAGCTTTTCTCGAGTCGTATGAACTGCAAGCAAGTTGTTCCAGTCAACTTCCAGCTCATCCTATTTTCACAAGTTTATCTTCTGACCATCTTAGGGCGATAACAAATCGTTTTTGGTCTGCAAAAAGAAGATGGAAACATCTCCGGATACGCTTTGCTGCTTCTGTCCAGCGCCTCTGAGAGAGTTTCTCGATATAGTAATAAATATGAAATTTGATGAAGAACCTAATTATTCGAAGTTAATCTCTTTATTTGGGAGCTTACTTGGACCTGATCCTGCTATAAGACCAATTAACACTGATGGTGCCCAAAAAGTGGTATTTTACATGTGACCAACTTTGCTTATTTATTTTTGCTTACATTATTGTAAAAATATATGACCTTATCATGTTATCGCTGTAGATTATTCAAGTTGGCCAAAAGCGAGGGAGATTAAATCTAGAGGAGGAAGAAGAGCAGCCTAGAAAGAAGGTTCGCATGGGAGTTCCTGCAACACAGTGGATTTCGATTTACAATGCCAGAAAGCCCATGAAACAGAGGTGGAAATGTCATTTCATATATGTTAGAATAGTCATGTAAATAGGAGTAAATAAATAACCCTAATCCAATATATATTAGGAGTAGGACATGTTATGTGTGTATATATATAGGGCTCATTGTAACATATGTTAATACATCAATAATATAATTTCTCCTGTGCTTTCTCACATGGTATCAGAGCTATCATGAGATATTTATCGCTGTGCATAAATTCCAGCGACTCCGGGAAGAAAAAAAAAACCTTTTTTTCCGGCAAAACAGCACTGTCCGCAAGAAAAAATCAATATCCGTTGGTGTTGTGCAAAAACCAACACTACCACGAGATAGATCAGCTTCCGGCGACCAAACCACAAAACTTTCTCCGGCAGAACCTCTCCCACGCGCCCTCACGCGCCGCCGGAAAATATTTTCCGGCGAGTCTCCGTCGTCACGCGCCGGCGCGTGAGGCCTCTTCCGGCCATTTTTTGGCCGAGCTTCTTCAGGACAGCCTGGTCGCACAGCAATTCCGACCCTACCCATCCTGTTTTCGTTTGATTCCGACCACTTTGAGTTTTTCCGGCGACTACACTGATTTTTCCGGCAGCTACAGTACTTTTCCTGTTTTCTTCATCTGTTTCAGAGAATTTTCAGTTGATTCTTTTTCTTATTTGGTGATAATCCAACCATGTCTTTGGGAGTCGATGCTTTCGGGTCTAGAAACCTGGGTTCTGGCAGTTCCGGTGTTATGATTACCTCAGAACTTTAATGGGAGGTTCAAACTACTTAGATTGGGCTTCATCTGTCGAGTTGTGGTGTAAAGGTCAAGGAGTTCAAGATCATTTAACAAAAAAGGCTAGCGAAGGTGATGAAAAGGCCAAAACACAGTGGGAGAAGGTCAATGCTCAGTTATGTAGTATCCTGTGGCGATCTATTGATTCCAAGTTGATGCCCTTGTTCCGTCCATTCCAGACATGTTATTTAGTTTGGGAAAAGGCTCGTAATCTATACACTAATGACATATCTCGTTTCTATGATGTAATATCGCGAATGACAAGCTTGAAGAAACAGGAATTAGATATGTCTACTTACTTGGGACAAGTTCAGGCAGTCATGGAAGAATTTGAGACGTTGATGCCAGTTTCTGCCAGTATTGAAAAACAACAAGAGCAACGACAGAAGATGTTTCTAGTTCTTACACTCGCTGGACTCCCTAATGACCTTGATTCAGTACGTGACCAGATTTTGGCTAGTCCAACCGTCCCCACAGTTGATGAATTATTCTCTCGATTACTTCGCCTTGCTGCAGCACCTAGTCACCCAGTGAGCTCATCACAGACACTTGACTCATCTGTCCTCGTATCCCAATCAGTGGACAATCGGGCATCTCATACTATGGAAAATAGACGAGGAGGAGGTCGTTTTGGAAGATCTAGACCCAAGTGCTCCTATTGTCATAAACTTGGACACACTCGTGATGTATGCTATTCTTTACATGGCCGCCCAACCAAAAATGCTTATGTTGCTCAGACTGAGACTACAGGTAACCAGGGATTTTCTTTATCTGAAGGGGAGTATAATGAGTTCCTTCAGTATCGAGCAAGTAAGCAGACATCTCCACAAGTAGCTTCTGTTGCTCAGACTAATACTTCTGTTGCTGGTAATTCTTTTGCTTGTGTTTCCCAGTCTAGTCCTCCTGGACAATGGGTTGTGGACTCAGCCGCTTCTGATCATATCTCTGGTAATAAATCACTTTTGTCAAATATTGCGTATTCACAGTCTCTTCCCACTGTTACTTTAGCCAATGGGTCTCAAACCAAAGCAAAAGGAGTTGGACAAGCGAATCCCCTACCCTCTGTCACTCTAGATTCCGTTCTCTATGTCCCTGGCTGTCCTTTTAATCTTGCATCTGTTAGTCGTTTGACTCGTGCCCTCCATTGTGGTATATATTTTATTGATGATTCTTTTATTATGCAGGACCGCAGTACAGGGCAGACGATTGGAACAGGACTTGAATCAGAAGGGCTTTACTACCTTAACTCCCTAAAATCCTCCAAGGCATGTCTAGTTACAGATCCTCCGGACCTAATTCACAAACGTTTAGGACATCCAAGCTTATCCAAGCTTCAGAAGATGGTGCCTGGTTTGTCTAGTTTATCCACATTAGAGTGTGAGTCATGTCAGCTCGGGAAACATACCCGAGCCTCCTATCCTCGTAGTATTGAGAGTCACGTAGAGTCTATTTTTTCTTTAGTTCACTCTGATATATGGGGTCCTAGTAGAGTCAGTTCAACCTTGGGATTTCGTTATTTTGTTAGTTTTATTGATGATCATTCAAGATGTACTTGGATTTTCTTAATGAAAGATCGTTCTGAGTTGTTTTCTATATTCCAGAATTTTTGTGCTGAAATTAAAAATCAATTTGGTGTTTCCATTCGCACTTTTCGCAGTGATAATGCCTTAGAATATTTATCCTCTCAATTTCAGCAGTTTATGACTTCTCAAGGAATTATTCATCAGACCTCTTGTCCTTATACCCCTCAGCAAAATGGGGTTGCAGAGAGAAAGAATAGGCACATCATTGAGACTGCTCGCACACTTCTCATTGAATCTCATGTTCCGCTGCGTTTTTGGGGCGATGCAGTTCTCACAGCTTGTTATTTAGTTAATCGGATGCCTTCCTCTCCCATCCAGAATCAGATACCGTATGCAGTATTGTGTCCCCAATCACCCGTATACTCTGTTCCCCCTCGTGTTTTTGGGAGCACTTGTTTCGTTCATAACCTAGCCCCTGGGAAAGATAAGTTAGCTCCTCGTGCTCTCAAGTGTGTCTTCCTTGGTTATTCTCGTGTTCAGAAGGGCTATCGTTGTTACTCACTTGATCTTCGTAGGTACTTTATGTCCTCTGACGTCACATTTTTTGAGTCTAAACCTTTCTTTACCTCTTCTGACCTTTCTGACCCCCTTGATATATCTGAGGTCTTACCTATACCGACCTTTAAGGAGTCTACTATAGCTCCTCCTTCACCTTCCGCCACAGAAGTCTTACCCGAGTCTCCTATAGCTCCTCCTTCACCTTCCGCTATAGAAGTCTTATCCATTCCAGCCGTTGAGGAGTCTAGTGTGGCTCCTCCTAGACTCCCTGCCACAGGAACACCACTTTTGACATATCATCGTCGTCCGCGCCCAGCATCAGGTCCAGCTGATTCACGTCCTGCACCTGACCCTGCTAATACTGCGGACTTGTCTCCTCTTAATCAACCGATTGCACTTCGGAAAGGTATACGGGCCACCCTTAATCCTAATCCCCATTATGTCGGTTTGAGTTATCATCGTTTGTCATCACCCTATTATGCTTTTCTATCTTCTTTGTCCTCTGTTTCCATCCCTAAGTCTACAGGTGAAGCATTGTCTCATCCAGGATGGCGACAGGCTATGATTGACGAGATGTCTGCTTTACATACGAGTGGTACTTGGGAGCTCGTCCCTCTTCCTTCAGGTAAATCTACTGTTGGTTGTCGTTGGGTGTATGCAGTCAAGGTTGGTCCGGATGGTAAGGTTGATCGTCTTAAGGCTCGTCTTGTTGCCAAAGGATATACTCAGATATTTGGGCTCGATTACAGTGATACCTTCTCTCCTGTGGCTAAGATAGCATCAGTCCGCCTTTTTCTATCCATGGCTGCTGTTCGCCATTGGCCCCTCTATCAGCTGGACATTAAGAATGCTTTTTTACACGGTGACCTTGAGGATGAAGTTTATATGGAGCAACCACCTGGGTTTGTTGCTCAGGGGGAGTCTCGTGGCCTTGTATGTCGCTTGCGTCGGTCACTTTATGGTCTAAAGCAGTCTCCTCGAGCCTGGTTTGGTAAGTTCAGCACAGTTATTCGAGAATTTGGCATGATTCAGAGTGAAGCTGATCACTCTGTATTCTATCGGCATTCTGCCTCGAGTCTCTGTATTTATCTGGTGGTCTATGTTGACGACATTGTTATTACCGGCAATGACCAGGATGGTATTACTAAATTGAAGCAACATCTCTTGCAACACTTTCAGACTAAGGATCTGGGCAAACTAAAGTATTTTCTGGGTATTGAGGTCGCTCAGTCTAGCTCAGGTGTTGTGATCTCACAACGAAAGTATGCCTTAGATATTCTTGAAGAGACAGGAATGACAGGTTGTAGACCGGTTGACACTCCGATGGATCCGAATTCTAAACTTATGCCAGGACAGGGGGAGCCTCTTAGCGATCCTGCAAGATATAGACGGTTGGTTGGTAAATTAAATTACCTTACAGTGACAAGACCTTGACATTCCTTTTCTGTGAGTGTTGTGAGTCAGTTTATGGATTCTCCGTGTGATAGTCATTGGGATGCAGTTGTTCGCATTCTTCGGTATATAAAATCAGCTCCAGGCAAAGGTTTATTGTTTGAGGGTCGAGGCCATGAGCAGATCGTTGGATACTCAGATGCTGATTGGGCAGGATCACCTTCTGATAGACGTTCTACGTCTGGATATTGTGTCTTGGTAGGAGGAAATTTGGTGTCCTGGAAGAGCAAGAAACAGAATGTGGTTGCTCGGTCTAGTGCAGAAGCAGAATATCTAGCGATGGCTATGGCGACATGTGAGCTAATTTGGATCAAACAGTTGCTCAAGGAGTTGAAATTTGGTGAGATTAGTCAGATGGGACTTGTGTGTGATAATCAAGCTGCTCTTCATATTGCGTCAAATCCAGTGTTCCATGAGAGAACTAAACACATTGAGATTGACTGTCACTTTGTTAGAGAAAAGATACTCTCGGGAGATATTGCTACAAAGTTTGTGAAGTCGAATGATCAGCTTGCAGATATTTTCACCAAGTCCCTCACTGGTCCTCGTATTAACTACATATGTAACAAGCTCGGTACATATGATTTATATGCACCAGCTTGAGGGGGAGTGTTAGAATAGTCATGTAAATAGGAGTAAATAAATAACCCTAATCCAATATATATTAGGAGTAGGACATGTTATGTGTGTATATATATAGGGCTCATTGTAACATATGTTAATACATCAATAATATAATTTCTCCTGTGCTTTCTCACAATATATTAAATGAGTATCATGGTCAACTAGGATTCATCTAGCCGACCCCTGCTTGTTTAGGATTGAGGCGTAGTTGTTGTATTATGTATTTTCCCATGCAAAGCGATTGAATTGTGGTTTATGTGCTGCACTCACACGATTATTCGGTGGATACTATAGTTTTGTTCTGTTAGTGGTTAGTACCTTTACTATTAAAAATAAATTGTATGTTCCATTGGTGGTAAAATGTCAAGGTGCTTCTTTGGGAAATTTTCTTGATTTCCCTTTTCCCGCAAATTGTGGGTAGGGTTGGGTTGTCAAGCCTCATGAGTGGTGTAGAATAAAAATGTTTTGCTAGTTTTATTTAGGCTAATGATGCTGTGATGAAGCCATGAAGGAGACACTTCGTGTTCTGAATTAAGACTTCAATTAGGGCATTGCTTTTGGATTAGCAGATTAGATGATAATGCATTTTTTTGGTAACTAAATTATTTTATTAATCACCAAGAGAGAATTACAAAACTGTAGCTGGACACATCTCAGTCTGCTGCTACCTGTAAACAATCACAGAACCTTACACTAACTCTACTACTATCTTCCTTTATGATATTAATTTAAGAAGCCCACCTCCTAGGGAGAGTTTCTTCCTAATCCCAATATCTATATACAATTGGAAACCCTATGTCAACAGAAACTCTATCATCAGTTAATCTATAAGTGTAACTTCTGCAACAATCCTCTAATTACAGCATTAGCTCTAACATTACTTATACCAGCTAACTCCCTTGCTAGGCTTTCAACAGTCCTCTCCTCATTCTCAAAAACTATAGCATTTCTTTCACACCAAATGGAATGCCCGCTTTCAGCATATATCATCCTAAGCAGGTGTGCTTGTTTGGTCCTCCCTTTGGCTTTGATCAGTATCCAGTGCAAGCGTTGTGTATAGGATTGGTTATGATCCCGCTGAAGCCAATGCATTAGTCTCATAATCTTCTTGCATACTTACATTTAGTAAATAAATGTGGATGACATTGCATATTGTTTCAACAAGTCGTTTGGACTGTTTTGTTATTTGGAAAAATCATTGAGACTTTGATACATGAATTTTCCTGTACTTGGAACTGAAATTTTGCATTCTTCAGGTTCTCCGGTTTAAATGTAGTTATTCAGCGGAGATGCGACTGGGAATGCATTTTGTCTTAACTTTTTTTTTACATCCTGCTCTTGTCTCTGGCCATATATGTTAAGTAATTGAGGCAGATTTCTATTAGTTCATAGTTTATATTTTCTCTGTCACTGGATTCTTGGGTGGTCTGTGCTGTGTAAAGTCGTAGGGTGGTTTTCTATTTCAGAAATAAAGTTAGTTTTATTAGGAAATTTGGTAGATTCTCCACAATCATGGAACCACTATTGCTTTTGGTGTCAATTATCCAGGAGTTCTGTTATTGACTGCAAGAACTTGTATAAACCTAGATAATAGTTGGTGTTTCGGGGCTCAATCTTTTTCCACCTGTGATCGAGTGTAATATTTTGAGAATGTCTTCTTCCTCTATCCATTCTTGACTTTTTGTGATGTCTTTCATTCAGCTTTTATGTGGAGTACTACGCCTTCTCATCTTAAGATCTACTTTGCAGAAAGTATCTGTGATATTTTTTGTTTACATAGCTTTTGGAAAAAGATAGGGGAGACTTTTTGATTTGTTTAGGAATGTCTTTCTATGGTCGTTGTGGAGAAGCTTGATGATTTTTTTACTGCATTTGTTGGTACATAAACTGGAGTAATATAGCTAATTTTGCTACTTTTAACTACGATTTGCCCTAGAAGCGTGAAGCGACATGATTAAGAAGAAATATATGACTTCTTGGGCTTTCTAGACCACATGAAACTTTTAAATTATATGATAAGAGAGTAAGGAGTGAACTAGCTGCCACTATACAGTTCTAAGAGCCTAGATATGGTTAGTAGAAAATATTGTAGCTTCCTTAAAGGCTTTATAACTTGGTGAGTTCACATAACATGTTTGTTCGGTAATAATGCATGGCTTTGTCCTTTATCTTGTGACTGGCAGGAGCTGTCAAATTACACTTTTTTTCAAGGATGATATCTTGTGGTTATGCTCCTTGATTTCTGGAGAGAGCCCTTTTTGGTTCAGTATGTAGTGGTAATTATGGATAAGATATTTTCTGTACACGAGTCCCCTAGTTAATGCGATGTAGCTTGTTATAGGTACCATTATAATGTAGCAGATACAAAGCTGGCACAGCATGTGGAGAAAGGGAATGCAGAAGGTTTATATATAAGTTGTGTGGCATCTTGTTCCGACTTGTGGGCTATTATCCTGGATGCTGGAAATAAATTCACGAGCCAAGTTTATGAGCTATCACCATTATTCTTGCACAAGGTAAATTGTGAATTCTATTTATTCCACTATGTTACATGAATCATCATTTGCCATGATGTACACGTGTCGAATGGCGTGACATTAGTATATCATACTTGTGTATATTCTTTAAAATACGCTAGAACTTAGCCAAAAAGGCACGTATCCCTACCAAATACTTCCACACACCCGTATCCTGTGTGTATTGGAGCTGAGTCCATGTAACGTAGCTCTTAATACAATTCACTGCTCTTCAACCTGATAGTTAATCTATGTTAGGTCTTGTTGTACATTGTTACAGGAGTGGATAATGGAACAGTGGGAGAAGAACTATTATATTAGTTCTCTTGCTGGTGCCACCAATGGAAGCTCTCTTGTTGTAATGTCAAAAGGTGGGTTCTAATTGCTAAATTTTGATTAGTTTTACACTTTACCTGCCTTTAGTGATATTAATGGATATCTTTTCCTGCTTTTCCCTTTAAGATATCAGTAGTGCTTGTAATTTAATGTAGAGATTTAAGAGTTTCCTAATACGTCGACAAGGTGGTTTGGACAAGGCATTTATGACAGGAAGCATCAGCATTGTGCTCCTTTGTCTCAAGATTTGATGTCCCTGGGTCAAGTTTATGCTATGTTTGATTCCATTAAGGGGAGGGAAGGGGATATGTTAGGCGCACATCACAGGTTTGAATCCTGGTTGTGAACCAATTTGTTGTTTAAGTGCAGCAGGGCAGAGGGTGGACATGCTCTTCGCTGGTTTTCAGTTGGAAACAGCAGATTCTCAGTTTTTTTTTTGCCATCCGGTTTGTAGTTTATTGTATGAATGTGCCAGTTTGGTACCACCAGTTTGGCCTTGAGAGATAATTGATTGCTATTGATACACACACACACACACATGCAACATCTGAGACGCACCCGAGCACACACAGCACATGTATATTTATATATGTGTATATGTTCAATGTTCACACAATGAGTGACATAGTAACCTGAATGGTTTGAAGGTTAAGCGTTATAGCTTTCAGTTCTAAGCTCCTCAACTTTCATAATCTTGATGTTACAATCATTATTATATATGTGCAGGCACACAGTTCACTCAGCAGTCCTACAAAGTGAGTGAGTCATTTCCGTTCAAGTGGATAAGCAAGAAGTGGAAAGAAGGGTTCCATGTAACCTCCATGGCAACTGCTGGCAGTAGGTGGGCAGTCGTTATGTCTCGCAATTCAGGATTCAGTAACCAGGTTGTTCCTCTCTCTCTGTCTGCATGTTTGTGTGCTCATTACCTCTTTCGCACACTTCATCTTATTTTAATTAGTAATGATAGAAGCCTAGGCTCGAGAGGAGGAGACTCTCGATATCTTAATTTACTTCCTTTTTTTCCCTGACAGCTATTGAATGATCGTCAGAATTATAACAGATCTTTTACCCGATTTTGCTAGAGGAAAAAATAGTAACATCAAGGAACTTGTATTTAGTACAAGGAAATGAAGGAATAATTGCATTTACTCAATGTTTAAGAACAAAAGCACAAATGAGTAATAGCCTATGGGGCTTTAAGCATAAAGCAAGAAGCGAAGCGCCTAATTTTTCCATACACAAAAGTCATCATACATATTAGCACTTAATTACTTATAACATTATCTTCACAAGGTAGGGGTAAGGTCTGCGTACACACTACCCTCCCTAGACCCCATTATGTGTCATTATACTGGGTATGTTGTTGTTGTATAAGTGAATTAATATTACTATTCTTAATATCCAGTATACAATAAAGACAATTTCTAGTAACTCAAGTTAAACATCATTACATATAATTTGAGCAAATGCAGGGGAAAGATAATTTCAATCGCAAAATTTATAATTGAATTTCAATTATTAAACAATAAGAAAAGAATTAGTTGAAAAAAAGGATATTTGAAAGTTCTAATGCAGCTAATAGAGTTTTTTTTAACTAACCTACTTTTTATTTTTACTATACAAGAGGTGCTAGTAAAACAGGTGAAGCAGGCACTTCTTCGTTGACATGCCTGCTTGACCCAAACAAATATATTCTCCCCTGGTTTAGCATATTATTACGTTAATGCCATCACATGATTTTAGTGAATTAAAGGAAGTTGTTGAGGCACTTTCAAGGCCAAATTGTCAGCTCCATTTCCACTGCATATCAGATGGGCTCCACTTAAATTTGTCAGTTCACACCATCACAATTTACAATTTACAATTTACACGTTTACTGCACATATTTAAGCTACCAATGACCATGTAGGCCCCACTAGATTTTATCCTCACGCATCTCTCCCTTATTAAAATAGCTATACTAATTTATTTTAAACTCAAGCCTGCAAACAAGTGTCGGTTAAAAGTTAAATAAGAGAAAGGAAATGAACTTTCATTTCATCGTGTGCATTTTTCCAAAGCCATTTCAGTGTTAACTTTATCTGTAGCTTAGGTCTGTTAAACTAATTGCTTGATGAAAAAAGAAGGTTTAAGCAACATTTGAGTTGCGTCAAAAAAGGTTGTTAAATCAATCGCTAATATAATAAACTTAGCTTGAATTTCAGGAATCTTTTTGAATAATTAATATAGATAACAAAAGCTCCAGCTATAAGAGGGATAAATATTATTTGAACGAAATTTAAAGGTTTAAAATTTGATCTTCTCCAACTTCTGAATAATTTTGTGTGATTAGTACTACGAAATCTTTCTTCTCTATGAATAATGTACGTTACAGAAACTCCAGTTAAAGAAGAGAGATAAATGTTCTCTTCATTCATTCGTTTGAATAGAAAATAAAGTTAAAAAAATTGATTTTCTTCACTTTGGGAATATTTTAGTATAATTAATTACTAAGAGGATTTACATAATGATATTTGAATGAACGTAGAGTTTAAGCAAGAAGAAAGACTTTTTGTATATACTAACATTACCTTTAGAACTTGGGTCATAAACATGCCGTAATATATTTCTATAGTCAATTAACGTCATTAAGAGAAAATTAAAAAAAAATTAAATTAAAGAGTTCCTACATATAAAAAATAATATTCTTTTCTTAGAAGAGAAAAAGAAGAGTAAAAGTGAAAGAGTGTCAAATATAATAACACAGAGATATTAGAAAGATCCAACCATCTTTTCCATTATAAACACGATCAAAGAGTAGTAAAAATGTATCATTCTTTGTGGGAAAGACTAAGAAAAAGAAAAACAACAACAACAACCCAGTAAAATCCCATAAATGGGGTCTGGAGAGGGTAGTGTGTACGCAGACCTTACCCCTACCCCGAAGGGGTAGAAAGGCTATTTCCGAAAGACCCCCGGCTCAAGATAATAAAAAGACAAAAGGAGAGAATATTAGATTCACCACGGAGATCATAGGAAACATAGGAACATAAAATGCAGAAAAGTGCAAAGCAAAAACGATGGCTAGTAAATGGATCATGCGTCGAAAAATAGAAAATAGTAAGACACGACATTGGCCCTAGCTATCTTAGACAAAACCCTACCGTACTAGGCTCATAAAGGTACAAAGTAACGCAAGACTCAACTACCTCCTAGCCTACAACCGTAATACTCGACCTCCACAACTTCCTATCAAGTGTCATGTCCTCGGAAATCTGAAGCCTCGCCATATCCTGCTTGATCACCTCTCCCCAATACTTCTTAGGCCGCCCTCTACCTCTTCTCGTGCCTTCCACAACCAGCCGCTCGCACCTCCTTACTGGAGCATCTGGATTTCTCCTCTGTACATGCCCGAACCATCTGAGCCTCGCTTCCCGCATCTTGTCATCAATGGGGGCCACGTACACCTTCTCTCGAATATCATCATTCCTAATCTTCTCCATCCTAGTGTGCCCGCATATCCACCTCAACATCCTCATTTCTGCTACTTTCATCTTTTGGATATGTGAGTTCTTAACAGGTCGAACACTCAGCCCCATACAACATGGCCGGTCTAACCACCGCTTTATAGAACTTACCTTTAAGTAGCGGTGGCACTCTCTTGTCACACAAGACTCCAGATGCTAACCTCCACTTCATCCATCCTACCCCAATACGGTGTGTGACATCCTCGTCGATCTCCCCTCCCCCGTGGATAATCGAACCAAGGTAATTGAAGCTGCCTCTACTTGGGATAACTTGTGACTCAAGCCTCACATCCACGTCCACTTCCCCCGGCTCAACGCTGAACTTACAGTCGAGGTATTCCGTCTTCGTTCTGCTTAGCTTGAAACCCTTTGACTTGAGTCTGTCTCCAGACTTCCAATCTCTCGTTAACACCGGCTCGTGACTCATCAATCAGAACTATGTCATTGGCGAATAACATGCACCATGGCACCTCCCCTTGTATATGGTTTGTTATCGCATCCATCACCAGGGAGAATAAGAACAGACTGAGCGCAGAGCCTTGGTGTAACCCCATTTCAACCGGAAAATGCTCAGAGTCGCCTCCTACTGTCCTAACCCGAGTCTTAGCCCCATCGTACATGTCCTTAATTGCCATAATATAAGGAACCGACACACCTTTTGCCTCCAAGCATCTCCAGAGAACTTCTCTAGGAACCTTGTCATACGCTTTCTCTAGGTCAATAAACACCATGTGCAGATCCTTCTTTCTCTCTCTGTACAGTTCCACCAACCTCCTAACAAGGTGTATAGCTTCTGTGGTGGAGCGACCCGGCATGAACCCGAACTGGTTGTCGGATACAGACACTGTCATCCTCACCTTCGCTTCAACCACCCTCTCCCATACTTTCATGGTATGACTCAATAATCTGATACCCCTATAGTTGTTACAACTCTGGATATCACCTTTGTTCTTATACAATGGAACCACCGTACTCCACCTCCACTCATCCGGCATACTCTTCGCCTTAAAAATAGCATTAAACAACCCAGTCAACCACTCCACACCTGCTCTCCCTACACAGTTCCAAAATTCCATCGGAATCTCGTCTGGCCCGGTCGCTCTGCCCCTACTCATCTTACGCATAGCTCCCACGACCTCCTCGACCTCAATACGCCTGCAGGGCCCGAAGTCACGATGACTCTCGGAATGCTCCAATTCGCCTGGCACAATATCACGATCCCCTTTTTCATTTAGAAGTTTATGAAAGTAAGTCTTCCATCTCCTCTTAATCTGGGCATCCTCCACCAGTACTCTACCATCTTCATCCTTAATGCATCTCACTTTGTCCAAATCTCGAGCCTTACTCTCTCTCAACTTGGCCAGCCGGAATAACTTCTTCTCCCCGCCTTTTTCCCCCAGTTCCTCGTACATACGACCATAAGCCGCATTCTTAGCCTCCGTGACCGACAATTTAGCTTCCTTCCTAGCTATCTTATATCTCTCCATGCACGCTCGCCTCTCCTCCTCATCTATGCTCCCCACTAACTTCAGGTATGCTGCCTTCTTCGCTTCCACTTTACCTTGGACCACTTCATTCCATCACCAGTCTCCTTTGTGCCCACCGGAGGCACCGGTCGAGACCCCTAACACCTCTCTCGCAGACTCCCTTATACAGTCTGCTGTCGCTGAGCACATAGTGTTCGTGTCCCCACTGCTCCTCCAAGCTCCCATAGCCGACAACCGGCACTCCAACTCTTGGGCTTTATCCTTAGTCAAGGCTCCCCACCTAATTCTTGGTTTTCTCCGAGCTATCCTTTTCCTTCTCTCTATCCCAATACCAACGTCTAACACCAAGAGTCTATGCTGCGTCGCGAGTGTCTCACTCGGAATCACCTTGCAGTCCTTGCACAACTCGCTGTCACACTTCCTGAGGAGGAGATAGTCAATCTGGGTCTTTGCTACCGCATTTTGAAAAGTAACCAAATGCTCTTTCCTCTTCGGAAAGCAAGAGTTCGCAATCACCAACCCAAAAGCGTTAGCGAAGTCCAACAGCGAGGTACCTCCTCCGTTCCTCTCCCCAAAACCAAAGCCTCCATGCACCTCGCCATAGCCACCTGCGGACGCCCCAATATGACCATTGAAATCCCCTCCTATGAATAGCTTCTCAGCGGGCGGAACCTGGCGCACAATCTCATCTAACCCCTCCCAGAAACGTCGTTTAACCTCCTCATCTAGGCCCGCATGCGGCGCATAGGCGCTAACGACGTTTAGGGTGTACTCTCCAACCACCAACTTAATAACCATCAATCTATCATTCACTCGTCTAACCTCAACCACAAACGCTCTAAGTTCCCTATCCACCAAGATACCCACTCCATTCTTACCTCTCTGGGCTCCTGAGTACCAAAGTTTATACCCGTCCGCATCCTTCGCCCTCGACCCTACCCACCTAGTCTCTTGGACACACGCTATGTTGACCCTCCTCTTCTGGAGAATCTTTGCCAACTCTATAGACTTACCCGTCAATGAACCTACGTTGCATGACCCGATTCTTAACCTATAGACACCCCTGTTTCTTTTACCTCCCTTGCCTCCCGACCCACCTCGTAACCCCTGCCCCGCCTCCCGCCCCACCCCCCGCTCTCCCCGAGGACATGACCTCACCATCCCAGACCACAGCCACTACACCTACGGCAAACTACGGGAAAACCACTAACACGCACAAGGCAACATACCGCGCTAGACAAAGACAGGCTGCGACTATAAGCGCACTAATAGTGTGAAAAAACTAATAGGAACTAAGATTGCAACAATTTAACTAACACAATAACGGGGAAAAGAAAAACAGGAGATACCAACTCCCGCAAGTGGAAACTGGGAATTGTCTTGGTATATACGACGATGTTGCGTCCACCTAGCACGTTCGCGTCCAACTTCCGCCGCCCCTCGTTGACCCTTGCCGGGGTTGTTCCTTATGTTTGCACACGCACGTCCCGCTCACCGCTAATAGCCAAAGTCCCTAACCTGAAATACGCACAAAACACCACGAAGAGAAACAAAGGAGGGGTTGTCACCGCTACCACTGGTGAGGCCCCACCCGTAGCAAAGGAGCGCAAGAAGGTTGTAATAAAACCTTAAATTGATTTTGATTTTTTTTTAATAAATTAGATAATAAATAAATAAATAAAACTGTCAAAAGAAGAACCCTAAACAAAACACAATAGAGTCAGAAAAATAAATCAACAGAACGTATATAACAAATACAAGAATGAGCTTGAGATTCAACTGAGGGAAATGGAGATGACGGATGAGGCTGTTGCAGTGCCGGCGCCGGTGGTGGTGGTGGAGGATTGTAGGATTGTAAGTGAGGATCCGGAAAGCAGGTGCGTTTTCAAGACTAAGAAAAAGAGTGTCATATAAAATAAAACAAATAAGATAGAAAATGTTGAACCATGTTTTCCAATTTGATCAACCATATACTTAGTTTCGGGAAAAAACACCTGGTTAAAATATTCAGTAACCATTAACGGACTATATTGCCAAAAAAGTTCCCTTTGAGCATTGTTTGGCTACATCTCGGCCCTAGCTGTTCCTTTGAATTATTACTTAACTCTTCCAAAAGGGAACTGAAAATTCATGACATCTTACGTCAATGTAGTGCTAATTTTTGTCAAATGTGGATTCATTTATCCTTGTAAATTATCCTGAAGAGTGTTTGTTGCTAACAGTTGTTTCACGATCCGTTTAATGACTTTACATTTTTTGCTCCGTTAAAGTTTGACAAAGATTGTTCATTTCTCAATCCCAATATGTCCGAACTGGTATTATAGTATGGCAATTAGCTTGTCAATGATTATTAACCGCATAGTTCCAAAAATTAAAACAAAGTTGCCACACTTGAGTTTCAAAACAAATATTTTAAATTTAACTGTTTTTCACTGTAAAAGAATATGTTGCGATGATATTAATTTGAGCTTCCTGATGATCGTAAAATAAAATTGAGATCAAATTTATTGGTTATCAACAGAAAATAAAATTAGTCGTTAATGATATTGGTTTGTGTTAATATCTTCATTTGAGTTTGGGCCCGTGCGTAGCATGGGTTAACCTTTACCTAGGTTTGTAAGTTTGTGCATCTTCTTAATGCCAGGAATGAAATCTATTATTACTTCATCCAAGAAAAGGAAAAAAAAAGAATTAGTATGTCTTTGGACAATATTGGGTTGAAGTTGAAAAAGTATGTTTGGAAGTTTTTCAACATTTATTTTGATAATAATAATCCCTTTAGTAACTCTACTAATTGAGTAGAAGAGAAAGAAAGAGAAGCCTATCAGAACTAACAGAATTATGTCCAGCTTAAATGTGTTCTTCTAAACAAACTTACCTTCGTGATTTTTTTTGTTTTGTTTTTTGAGAAGGTAAAGATTTATTATAACAGTATCAAGACGGTACTTAGAGATACAGAGAACATTCCAAAACAACAAACACTCCCTACATCCCACCTAGCAAAAAAATGGATGTGCCTCTATGGTGTTACTTGTTTCTAAATTTTGTATCATCTACTTCCACCCAGTACATTCCCCTTTGGTTTTATCTTATACTACTTATGGTAAAATTGCTCTTTTTTCCCCTCTGGATAGGTAGTGGAACTCGATTTTCTTTATCCAAGTGAAGGCATTCATGAACGGTGGAATAGTGGTTATCGTATTACAGCAACAGCTGCTACGTCAGATCAAGCTGCTCTTATCTTGAGCGTGCCTCGACGAAAACCTGGCAATGAGACTCAGGAAACATTGAGAACATCTCAGTTTCCAAGCACACATGTTAAGGTATGGTAATTTGTGATGTGGAATGTGTTAGCATCTGATTTTGCTGAGTACGTCTAGAAGAGCTTCGATGCATATACAGAAAGAAAATTCATGCTTGTGTTTGATATCTTCAAAAAGCTAAATCTTTTCATGGTTCCATTGTCACTAATATTTGTAGTCCCTATGTTGGAAAACCTTTAGTTTAAACGTTTATAGATGTGACCTATGTAAAAAAAGTAGGTTATTAGATGAAAATGAGTACTTTGCTTTTTAATGCTTCTCTTTTTTTCTTCTTTTTGCAGGAAAAGTGGGCAAAAAATCTCTATCTTTCTTGTCTATGCTTTGGCCGAACTGTATCGTGAGAAGTTGCAACATCTGACGTTGGGTACCCCCCCCCCCCCCCCCCCCCTTCCCTTTTCTTATTGTTCTATTCTCTTTTTCTATCATGGGCAATTGTAAAAAGTGGTTGGTAGGTTAAACGATTGTTATGGCATAGGAAATTTTAGTTATAGTGGCACTTGTTTCATTTAGCTCGTCCGAACAGCGCAGTTTTTGGTGAACTTTCTTATGTGATGTATATACAATTAACTGCACAAATTTCCAAATTTATGGATCCTTTGTATCCTTTATGCTTAGTTCAAGTCATTTCATTCCAATATGTAAATCCAAAATGAGCTTAATTTTTCTTCATTATTAGAAAAAGGAAGGAGCTTTCTATTACAAATTTATTTAAATTGGATTTACAATGTAAATTGCAGTTCAAGAATGACATAACACAAACTACACAGGAGTATTGATATTCTCATGACCCTTGACAGGAAATTATCCTGAAAATGATAAAAGCTCCAATAGCTAGGAAAGGTCTTGGGATCTTCAATAAATCCAGTATGTTGGATAATATGAAGTTAGGAGAAATGTTTTAAATCAATATACAAAAATTATCATGCAAATTTCTCAAACATGACCAAGAGTATATTTGTAGAGGTTCAGGAGCAGCTGAGCTCCCAACCAAAGCCATTCCAGCAACACCAATTCTTTATATTGAATTTTCTCCTAGTTTATGTGCACTTAAGTTTCATTGTTGGGCAGCTTGCTGGGGACAGAGTGTTCTGGTTTGTGTTCACATTCAAAATCAAGATGAACAAATGCACGTTCGACTTCAGGGAGTTTCTCGAGCTTTATTTGTAGAGTCTCTCCGATAATATGTGCTTCTTTCAATGGCAAATCTTCTGGGAGTTCAATATCAACCTATGTTAAAAGAAAGGAAGCAACATTTTGAAATCAGCCGAGTTCTGGAAAAGACTATGCCTTAATAGTTCACTTAGTTCATATCAAAGATGTTTAGGAAAATGATCTCATGATATTGGAGACTGACCTCAACAAAGTACAAGACACCAAAGGTGTATGCTCGAACTGTATCAACACGTTTCACTTGAGGATGTCTTATAACAAGATATGTTAACTTCTGCATAACTTCAGGCGGAGCTGATTGTCCCACCAGTGACACTGCATCAAGAACCTCATTCAGGATTTATTTGATGTATTGATATGAGATAACACCAAGAAAATATCGGAGTTTTGCATCTAAGTATGTGACATAGTGGTCAATGAAGTGGGAGGAGAACCATGAGGTCTCCAATTCAAATCCTAGCAGAGGGAAAAAGCCACTAGTCATATTTCTTTCCATCTGCCTAAGCGTTGGTCGGCAGAGTTTTCAGATACCTGCACTGGTGAGAGGTAGCAGGTACCCGGTGGAATAGTCGAGCTACATGCAAGTTGGCTTGAACACCATTGTCATAACAAAAGAAAATATTGGAGTTTGCTTCAGCATACAACGATAGACAACATATATTATGCCCTGGACTGAGGTTTCCAACAAGCCTAATTCTTACATACATCCTAAAAGGATAATTTTTCTTACAAGGTTAGAGTCTAGTCTGTGTTTTTTGAACGTTGCTGTTAACTTCCATGAGTTATTGAAGAACTATAAATTCAACAGGAACATGTAAGTATATACCTGCATTCTCTATCACAGTGCCTGACCAATTTGAGATTGTATAAATAGCAAGGATAAGAGCACCAACAGGATCAATCCACCAGTAGAACTTATCACCAAGTACAGCTGCTATTAACCCGACTACGTTAGTAACCACGTCGAAGTAGTGATCCTGACGAATAAATCAACAAATTAGGCAAACAGATTATCAGGCGAAGATGTGGAAAACCAGAAGGTAAGGACACTACACACTACAGAGGCGGATCCAGGATTTGAGGCTTATGGGTTCCTACCGTAATTTTAGATTAATATGCAATAATAACTGGGTTCACAGTTAGATATTTACAAATATTAAGTGATTTCTTAATATAAATACAGGATCTATGCAAAAGTTACTGGGTTCCCGGGAACCCATATTCTATACTCTAGGTCCGCCCCTGTACACACACCTTTGCATACGCACGAACAATGTTGTTTCCTGAGCTTCTACAGTAAAGCCATAGGGCAAGTTTTACTACTGTGGCAGTTAACATGATGGAATATAACCATGCGAGCTGATTCAAAGTCATCTTTTCAGTAGGTTTATTTTCAACTAGTTGTTCTACAGCCTGGATCAGCACCTGAAAGCCTACAAAGAAATGCACATGATTATGCAAATTGAAGAATTTCATATACAAAGAGGTTAGCTCTCATATGAATGGTGCTAATTCTCATGTTCTCTCTAATCTCCTTTGGTTTCGAGAGCCTCCATCTCCCCGTCTCTTACTCGTCTTTTGAAAGCCGTCATCCTGTTTTTTGTTTCCGATGCCTGTCTCTCACCTTTCCAAACTGATCACGTATTCACTAACCCAACACCAACCCGGTGAAATCCCAACTTACTCCTATCTTGGGGGTAGAGTCGTAGAGAGGCTGTTTCCGAAAGGCCCTCGGCTCGAGAGGAAGAATAGAAACAAGGTAATAACAACAACAAGGCCAGGAAAATGATACCATCAATGTATGAACGGAAAAAAAAAAACAAATGGAAGAAAGCAATAGCAATAGCAACAAGCAGTAACACGACACAGTACTAGAAAACTGAAGCGGAAGATAGTACTAAAAATAACCCTAACACTAGCACTCTAAGAATCAAAGAAAATGTACTAGTCAGCTAGCCCTAATAAACCTGGAACACATTAGAAAAACACACTATGACCTATTACCCTTCTACCATAATCTTCGACCTCCATATCCTCCTGTCAAGGGCCATGTCCTCGGTTAGCTAAAGTCGCACCATGTATTCACTAACCCGATAATGGAATTTCAAACGCAAAGTCAAAGCAGATAACATACCAAGTGTAGCCATAATAGCAGCAAAGACGATGATTCCAACAGGCTGCACTCTCAATTTTCCAATAGGATATTTATAGACATTAATGTTCTTCATTGAAAGATGAGTGAACCATAGTATTCCACCAGCCATGAGGTCAAGTAATGAATCCAATGTAGATGCAGCAATAGCTAAAGAACCACTCTTTACTGTGGCATAGATCTGCAAGGCGCGATATGTGTCAATACTGCTATTGTAACAAAAAGCCATATAATACCGCCATCTTTATCATTTTTCCAGGTCACTCAAACATAAACCAGAATTTCACTTTCATCGCATAAATATATTACAGGACAAAGAAATGCATACACATTAATAGATGGTTTCTCATTCTAATGTTAATCAAGAGTTAAATTAAGTAAATTCTGGTCACCTTGAGAGCAAGCAGTATAATGTTTGCATAATTGGAGATTCTCATTGCTCTCTCATGTTGGGCTTGCTCTTCAAGATCTTCTTCATCAATGCAATCAGCAGCGACTGCAATATCAACTTCCTCGAATGACTTCAAGGTTTCAAACTGTTTTTCATAGTATTCCTTTTCTCCTATCATCATAAAACTTAGTCAACGGACAATTGAGGGCAGTGGCGAAGCTAAAATTTGTTCCAAGGGTGTTTAAATTTGAATGAAGTAAAAAAAAATCCCGACAAAGGGTATTCAATATGTGTTATATACCTCTAAAACGTAATATTTTACTTATATATACAGTGTAATTTTTCAACGAAGGGTGGTCAATTGACCATGTGGCTTTGCCACTGACTGGGGTTGTTAATGATATCCTTTTCTAGCTGTAGATATTTGAACTGCTCTAGTGTAGTTTCCTGCAAAATTAACTTTATTTACAAAATAAAAAAAAGAAAAGAAAAGAAAAAGTTGATATCCTTATCCAATCTTTAAAGGATGTTAAGGAGTTTAATATGAAGTGTGATTGGATTAACATAATCAAACGATTGTATAACAGCTTTTGTTTGAGCCCTTTAAGAATTAAGATCAAATTACAGAACTTAGTCTATACACCAAATTTAGCATAGAAAAGAAACAGTTCCACTTTTTCTCAAGCCAAGAACATGTTCATGGGAATATGATTAACAATAGCAAGATAAAACTAATCCTTGACTTTTCAGTATCCATTAATTATCGAGCCCTATAGTTTTATACAACATATACTGACAAACCTCTCTATAACAGCCTCGTTTGTTCCGTTCCGATATCTTTTGGCTGCTATAGTGAACGGCTGATATAGAAAACATATATTATACATAATATAAAAATCGGTTCCAAGAAAAACACGACTTATTTAGTCCGGAACCAAACAGCCTGAGAGAGAGAGAGGAACCTTTGGTTAAGTCAGAGGATATGGAGAGGTTATTAACAATGGATGAAGCTTCAGAATCAATAACACAAGAGTTGATCACCTTATCTGGAAGCCTAGACAAGAAATCACGGCGGAGCGACGTGAAAGAGTTATGACGGCTGAAACGCCGGCTGCTCCGCCGTCCACTTCCACTAAGCTTCCACCCCTCCAGCAATGGCGTTTTAGTTCCATTAATATTGTTAGCCTCTTCCCCCTCCATTAATATCACGACTTCTGTATATATTTTCACTGCTACCTCCAAATCATGTAATTAAGCTTCACTACTATTGGCATTCATTGGATATATATATATATATAACACTTCAGGTATGATCTAACTTTTATTTTAATTAGGAAAAAGACAAAGTCAGATGTTGTACTTAAAATATAAAGATGATTAAAACGTAGTACCTACTACAAAACCATTAGATAAAGGTTATTTCTGTGAAAAAACTGTTTTTGCGGTTGGGTTTCATATTTTCTGTTTTAAGTTGCTAACTTTGTCTTTTTTCTAATTTATTATAATAAATTCTTTCTAACATTCCAAAATATTATTTTGCTTCGAAAGAGTCAATAGAAGATTTAAAATTAGTAAGAACAGAATACTGTTGCGAATTAAATACCCTCTTATGAGACCAGAGACAAGAGGGGTTGCTCTGATGGTAAGCAACCTCCACTTCCAACTAATAGGCCGTGAGTTCGAGTCTCCCCAAGAGTAAGGTGGGAAGTTCTTGGAGGGAAGGATGCCGGGAGTCTATTTGGAAACAACCTCTCTACCCCAGGGTAGGGGTAAGGTCTGCGTACACACTATCCTCCCCAGACCCCACTTAGTGGGATTATACTGGGTTGTTGTTGTTGTCGTCGTCGTCGTCGTCTTATGAGACCAGAGGTACATACATAGACAATATATAAAGTTGAGGCATGGAATAAGCCAACAATTATACTAATTAAAATTATTCTCTTTCTTGTTGACTTCAATATATCTAATTGGAATTGAACCAATGACCTCACAAAGGTTTTGACACCCCTTGACTATGGCAATGAGATTCAAAACATATAGAGGTAAAAAATAGATTTTGCATCTTATATACAGTGTAACTTTTTCGGCGAAGGGGGTTCGGGTGACCCTCCTTCCATCCCCCTAATCGCCCTGCGTGTACACACTACCCTCCCTAGACCCCACTTGTTGGATTTTATGTTGTTTTTGTTGTTGTTATTATTATTAGAGCCTAGTTAATTTCTGTCTAAGTAAAGGACTGAAGTGATTGATTCAACCAGCCAGAATCATGCCTTAAAGACTAGACTAATAGTTGACAAAGAAATAAAAGATTATATATAGATAAACAATGTTCTATATAAGTCACTTGATTCTGATTACATTGATTGTCAAAAAACCTAAATGCCTCATAATATATGATATACAACCAGCATTGACAGAATGCATGCCCAACAGTTGAAGCTGACTACATTCAACAGAAATTGATTGAGCTAAAAACCTGAACCTATATATAACCATCTACAACCTTTATATTTTTACAAGAAATACAAAAAATAAACCACCAGCTAATCAGGGATAACTAACAATACTCGTGGCCTCTGAGACGAAATCTACTGAGCTATTTGATGACACGGCGTGAAATTGATGCTAACTCTGAGGAAGAAGACCGTATTTCTACTTTACAATGGTTCTCTCCAAATGCGCCCGGCCACCTTAAGCTTTAGCTCCTTTCTGTCACCACCAGAGAAGAAGAGTGCCATGCTCCTTTGAATGAGCAGCCCGTCTAAACTGTCTCGGACAGTTTTATGACTATCACGGATGCTCCTAGGAACTCCTTGCCATATTAACTTTCTGCCAAATCCACCTACTTCAAGACTATAACTAAATTTTTTTGCATCGTCATCATCACCCATAAAACGAAGGAATGCCATGTATACTGGTGCCACTCCGACATTGAAAGCCTCAAAGTGCAAGCAGAACTGGTGACCAAAACAGTTGAATACCTACTCCACATAATATAGCAAAAGAAATATTACTTATCCATGTTATCAGACAGTGGTTTTCTCCAAAGTAAAGAACAAGTTAAAGATTTTCCTGCCTTAGAGCAAAGTGCTAATTCAGATTATTACGAAATACTGAAAGAACAGACTTCCTTTTCAACCAGAAATGAAAGAAGACAGGCTGGTTGTAACAGTAGAATTAATTTAAGCCGCTTAGAGCAACTATAATCAGAATTTGATAAGGAATGATTATACCAAATGAGAACCAAATTGCAAAATTACTTCTTCAATTTAAGGGGCAGAAAAATAGTTCACGGCACAATTTCCCCTCATGTATTTAATAGGATGCCACTAATCAACAGTCGTTTTCTTCTATTTAATAATAAATGGACAAATACTGAGTTTTTACCATGCTAAGCATGTAATTCAAATCTGTGATACTATTCTTGACTTTCTAGTTTTTATGATCCACTCCAGTCAGTCTATATCAAGTTATGCTAGGACTTCCTTTGCTGTTTGTTCTCTTTTTAAATGCAATCTGACATCAAGAGAGTTAGTGGAAGAGCAGTGGCGACATTTTAAAGAAACCTAGCTGGCAGAGGTGAGCCACAATTCTGTGTACTTCCAGGAAAAACCTGCTTCAGTATTTCAACCTACTACTTACTTCAACTCGAAGGAGATTTGAGTTGGTCGTTTTGTTCAGTCTAGATTTTCCTGGATCCTTCACAGGATCCCTAAAATTGTATTTCAATGTTGACTTCAAAGGGTCTGCCAATCATACTCGTATTTTCAGTTCAAGGTTCCTCTTTCTAGAAATCCTATTAACTTTGAGTTGCCGAAATAGGTGAAGGAATGAACTGCAAGTTTGTACTTCCTTTCTTTCCAAGGCAGGTCTCCTACCTTGATTGTGTCTATTTTTTGGCTTTTTTGACTACAATCAAAGTTGAATTTATCATTGACATACGTAATATACTCACGCTTCTGGTCAATTCTTGATAACACCACAGTTAAGTAAACAGTATGGTGGAGACTGAGGTGTTCAGATCACAATACCAATCTATTGGTTAGCCAACCTTACGAAAAGCTTTGGTACTAGCCATGAAAATGGTAGGACAATCCTCTGTGCGATAGGAGCTTCCGATCAAGGAGATAAGGATGCCAACAAGAGTTTGAGTGAGTGTTCATGCTTAACAACAACAACAACAAACCCAGTTTGATCCCAACAGGTGGGGTCTGGTCTGGGGAGGGTAGTCTGTACGCACCATACCCCTACCTAATGCAGGTAGGGAGGCAAAGTGTTCATGCTTAACACATTCTGATAAATACATTTCACGGACATTATCATCAGACTGCAAAGATGCACCGAATATGGTTCTTATTGACTACTTGAGACATGACAAAGTCGCACATCTGCACTAGAAAAAGAGCTTTAACAACTTAACTCTCTCAACCCTCATGTAATGCATTTTATCCAAGTCCATGTCATTTCCTGGAGTTAAAAAAAAAAATCCTTATTACTTAGTTTGATGTTTGCTTTGAGCCTTGAATTGTTAATATGGTATGTGATTCATGAAGTTCTGCAGTTCTATCTTGAAGAAAGCCTGAAAAAACTAGCAAACATATAGAGCACCATCAAGTTGTGCAATGAATTATGAGTAAACTTATCCTCTTGGCCTCTCTAAACTAACGAAGAGAGAGAGAGAGAGAGAGAGAGAGAGAGAGAGAGAGAGAGAACTCACAGTCAACATCCACGTAGCATTCTCAACATCTTGAGGATTAGCTTTGACATAACGATGGTTGAAGGTACAGCCGTCGTGCATATCAACCTTGTGATCATTTTTGAGGTGTGCAACAAGGGATTGAATATCACCAGTAACAGTGCATTCAGATCCCGCATAAGGGCAGTTGTATGGACGAAACCTGCAGTTCTGCTCATGCCGAAGCCTACTATGATAAGCGAATATATCTTGACAGCCAAAGATTTGGTATCGGCATGGCAATTCCAGTGACTCTGCAATTTTCTCCAATGCTAGACATCTTATGTTTCCAAGCTCATGGCGGCAAATTGGGCATACATGGACTTTTGTCTTGCACTTCAGGCATAACGTATGACCGTTTGGACACTTCGCACACGGAAGATGTAACAAATTCAGTAGAAAGTGTAATTAATCAAAGGCCAAAAAGATTATGACAACTCAAATAAAGTGAAAGAAATGCTATAAGATTACTGGATAGAGCTCTTTTTACTTTAACAACAAATGCTCTTTATGTCCAAAACGTGCAAGTCCTACATTCCAGTTTTGGTTATACTCGAAATATTACCCAATTTACAGAAAGTGAACCCTTTTCTTTTGATTAATGATGGAAATTCTCCCGTATACAAGCAGTGTATTAAAAAATAGAGAATCTGCTACAAAATATAAGTTTCTACAAAAGACACCGATCTTCTATACAAACTGTAACTTCATGGGTGCACCAAAAATAACTAGGAATGAGAGACTATTTCTTAAATACATGGAGTCGTTTGAATAAACGTAATGTAAAAACTAAGTTAGCTCACACTTTGGCATTGTATCAAAGACAACTTTCAACTATATTAGCTCCCTTATACACTTCTATTTTTTCTGTTATCTAATAAACGTAATGTAAAAACTATACGAGCTCGCACTTCTACATTTCTGAAGGCCAACTTTTCTACTTCTCTTTCCTGAATAAACACAAAAATATTTTATTTTGGCATCTTCTATGCGATATAAAATGAAGCACAATATCAGCTCTCATCACATAATTTCTTTGACACATATCGAGCAAGTCTAAACTCTAAAGCGTGCATCAGGTATGTATTGTTTATAGTCTATAACTTGATATGTTTATGCTGATGCAAACTAGAATCCCTCTTGGATTTTGACGGTTAGAAGATAGAACATGCATTTAGAAGCAGAAAACTTTCACCAATAATACCTATTGAAAGAAAAGCTCAATCACCATGGAATAGCACTGCAGAACTTGAATTTTGTGTCCTAATGACTTGAAAGCTATTCAAAAACAGCCAATGCTCATTGGGAAGAAACATAACACTTCACATGTTCCGTTTGTTAAACTAGAGGAGGCAGAGACATTTCTGGAAAAATTGCATTATCACGTAAATGCTCCAGCAGCAGTTTTCTATGTATTTTTTGGACATCAATCAAAACGAGTGTTACTGTACTAATATATTAAGCTAGTGTAGTAGTGTTTTCGTTAGGGCCACCTAGCAGTAGCATCATTACATGACACAGAAGCCTATTTCTTTTAGCTTACACCTCAGAAATCTCAGTGCCAAAGTAAGCAGAAAATAAAATCTATTCAGGCTTAAATTTCTATTAGGTCACGGGGTTTCTAAATCCATCACATTTGAATTTGGATTCTTGTCCAATTTCAAGCTCAATTTTACTAATCAATGCCCTGCCCCCCCTCCGGGGTGCATATTAAGAATCTCGAATCACTTTATTTGCAAATGTGGCATTCCAAAATAAGCTACATGAGAACCAACCTGATGAATTGGAGGGTACATTAGATTCATACAAATAGGACATTCGAGTAGTTCATGGACAGCTGTATTAGATCTTGTTCCATGATTCCCACCAATAATATTAACAGCTGTGGATTTTCTAAAAGGGGAGCTTTTGGGTTCAGCATTTTCGGGTGCAATACCATAATCAGCATACGCGTTATGGGAATCACCAATATCCTGGTAACTGCTGCCTCCGGGAGCCATGTATTAAACTGCAAAGCTTGCGAACAAATATATATCCTAGTCCTGCCAAAGCAAGTGGGAACATAACTTAGTATTGTATATAAGGAGAGAAATATGAAATCTCTTTCCTTTTCAACATCACACTGAAAAAGGTGGTACAAGAATGTTAAAAAGCGCAGCCAGGTGCATAAAGCATCCAACATTCACGCAGCGTTTGGGGAAGGGCTGCACCCCTGACATAGGCAAACCACTCTGATGCAAGCATTAGTAGCTGATTCCACGGCTCAACCCATGAATCTCAAAAACAATTTCCTACACAAGAAGTTCTCCTGGACAACACATTGTTCACAAACTTTTGATGGGACAGAAATGAAAAAACATAGAATTTAGGCCAAATCCCACAAACATGAGAAACAGAAAAAAAAAAAAAAAATTTTTTTTTCTTTTCTGAAATCGAACTTTGTAGACACAGACCAAGACAAACATTCCAAGACCCAAACCTTTTTACTTTATTAGTTGTCTGAAGGAGAAAAGATTGAATCTTTGCCCAAAATATTTCCCTTTTCCTCACTTTTTCCTCAAATTCTCATATTTTCAAACAATTCCATAACAGCAAAAACTTCCCAGAAAAGCAAAATGAAATTGATAGTTCATCAAAAAGATCAAAATTCAAAATCAAATGGCTACATAAAATCAATACCATCAACAACCAACAAAATTTGAGCTTCTATAGAGGAACAAATCAAAGCCAAAATGTTAACAAAAAAAAAAAAGATAATGAAAGAGAGCAACACTAACCAAGAAAAGCAAGACCCAGATGAGATAAAAAGCTTGAATAATCAACGCATTTTGATAGCACCATTCAGCTACGTTAAAAATTTGAGCTTTTAATGAGGAATTCAAAAAGGTCAAAAGCTAAAGAAAAGAGAGCAAAAATGACCAAGAAAAGGAAGACCCAGATGAGATTTTGTAGCAAAAAAAAAAAAAACTTGGATTAATCAACCCATTTCAAAGCAGTCAATAATTGGGTCGTTATTAAATTCATCAAGAATCAAGACAAAACACAAAAAAGAAAATTTAGGATAGAGGAAAAACACAGCCCTTTACATCTAAATTAGTTAATTCTATTATAATTTTTCATAAGTTATGTTTACTGTGACATGAAATAAAATAATAACAATAATAATTATCTCTTAGTCTCAAATAAATTAAAACGCCCTGTATGAATCCTCACTAGTTTTATTATTATCCCTTACTTTATTTAAATTATCATATCCAATATTATGCACATACAAACAAAAATATTAAAGTTATATATTAACTAAATGTAAATAAATATGAAATAATATTTTAATAAATTCATTAATATATGAATTACTATCTTTTAATCTTTCTACTTCAATTTTTCAAGTGTTTTAAAGGATTATTGTTAATTTAATCACAATTTATATAATAAGGAATTAAATATAATAGATATTTATTGTTTTTTAATACTCTCTCGTTCCAGTTTACGTGAACCTATTTTATTTTTGGTCCGTTCCAACAAGAATGAGTCCTTTCTAAATTTAGAAATAATTTAGCTTAAACTTATAATTTTACCCTTAATGAGAAACTTTTATAACCGCACAAATATTTTAGCTCTTTTTTGACTTATTTAGAATCACAAATTTCAAAAGTCTTTATTTTTTCTTAACTTCCATGCCCAATCAAATAAGTTCACATAAATTAAAACGAAGAAGTAATAAATAAACATGAATGTGTACAAACTTTCGACCAAATAAATCTTTACTGCCGGTCTCCTTGATTTACGTGATAGATGTTTTTAAGCAGGCCATAACAATAAAGAATAATTAAATAATAGAATCATAATTGACATATCTAGTGAAACAACAGTCAAAGATGTGTGAAGGATCACAATCAACCATATCTATAATGGAATCATAATTGACATAATTACTTTGGCCTTTTGGTTTGTTTCAAATGTGTATCAGGTGGTGCACATGTGTGCAAGAAAGTGGAAATTTTTTCTAGCACAAATGTAACGCAGTGATCAATAAAGTTGTTTATCTGTAAAATAATACAGTTGACCTTGTTCCGTAGTTTATAAATAAGCGAATCGATTTAATCCAAAAATAATAAATAAATTAGATTAAACATAAGACTTAGCGCAAAAATAAAAAGAAATGACAAATCTGGCTCCAGGAGCGATGCCTCCGAGGGCAGAAATAGCAGCAATACAAAGCGGAAAGTAAAGTTATATTATTTAGCTTGAGAATAGAATGTGGCATAAGTTTTCCCAACAATTTCGTATATCTATAATGATTGTTGAAGCCATTATTTATAGCTACACCTACGAAACAAGATCCGAGGATCAAGCTCCTCTTAAATGACAGTAAAAGCTGTCATTGATTAATGTGTAACGGCATGTCATAAATGCCAAAATCCTTTGCAACGACTACCTATTTAATGCTAGGGAATATTCTTCACTAAAAGTCATCTGGTGACACAAACATTCTCCTGTTGATTATACTCCCTTCGGTTCCACGTGTCATGCTACCATATGGTCATTTAATATACGGAAAAGGTCCAAATACTCTCCTAAACTTTACGATAAGGTCTATAAATAACCTTCGTTAAAAGTTTGGCACATCACCCACTGCTGTTACACTATTGGCCTGGATACCTGGATACCCCCTTTATTTTAAACGGCTGCCACAGTGGATAAATTATCCACTCAAAATATGACATGTGGATGTTGTGTTCGAGTACCCCATCACGGAGGCTTAAAACATACAAAATAGTTGGCATTTAAATTTTATTTGGAAGGCAGAGGACAGTGTTAAAACTGTTTTTGAGTTTCTGTGGAATTTTGTTCCAATCTGCTAGAAAGATAATTTAACTTGTTTTATGTATTTTTTTTTAAAAAAAAAAAGGGAACCAAGTTTCAGATGGTATGAAATCCAAGATCTTCGAATGAGTGTAGTAATTCAAATGGTCACCCAATTTCTAAAATTGGGTCTACATCGTCCTAATTCATGTTGGACTAAACAAAAGTACCTTATGGTTGTTATACAGCTCTAATTCATTGAAGAAAATTGCTCATAAACTGAATTTAGCCGGAGAATTTTCCGACGAGGAGACGGTTCGCAATTGATAAGTGTAGTGAAATTCGGGAGGGTATTAAGAGAAGGGTTATGTTTACGGGTCGGGTAACGAGTAGAGCTAATGGGTAGGGTTGGGCATTAAAATAAAATATTTATGTGTATATTATATTCCACATGTCATATTTTGAATGGATAGCTTATCCACTGTGACAGACGTTTAAAACAAAGGGGTATCCAGGCTAATAGTGTAAGTGTGTAACAACAAGGTGGGTGATGGGCCAAATTTTTAACGAGGGTTATTTATAGACCTTATCGGTAAATTCGGGGGGGGGGGGGGGTAGGGGAGGGGGGGGGGGTTATTTGGAACCGTTTTCCGGTTTAAATAGTAAACCGAATTTTTGCTCTATACAGAAANTGAAGTTATTCGAGAGAGGGTGGACGTGGCGCCCATGGAGGACAAGATGCGGAAAGCAAGACTCGGATGGTTCGGGCACATTCAGAGGAGGAGCACTGATGCACCGGTGAGAAGTTGTGAGCGACTGGCGGTGGTGGGCACGAGAGAGGTAGAGGGAGACCTAAGAAGTATTGGAGAGAGGTGATCAGGAAGGACATGACGTGACTTAGGATTACTGAGGACATGGCCCTTGACAGGGGATTGTGGAGGTCGAGCATTAAGGTTGTAGGTTAGGGGAGAAGTTGGGAATATTTCTACAGCGCGCTAGAGTCAGACTAGACAGTTAGTAGTTAGGCTTAGGATGCTACGGATCAGCTACTGATGCAGGGCTTTATATTCTAGATATTAGTATACTTTCCTCTTTCTCGTATTTCCTATATTCCTTATACTGTTGTTATTTTATTATTTATGTTATTTTATGTTATGTTGTGTATTTTATGTTATTTACTATGAGTCTATTGCTAGTACTAATATATCGTCACTTGTTTCCTTCTTGAGCCGAGGGTCTCCTGGAAACAGCCTCTCTGCCCCTCGGGGTAGGGGTAAGGTCTGCGTACATATTACCCTCCCCAGACCACACTTGTGGGAATACACTGGGTTGTTGTTGTTGTTGTTGTTGTTACTTATCTATATAATTTCAATGAATTTCAACTATACCCATTGAAAAAGTTCCTTTTTGTTTAGATTTTTGGAATATTGTATAGATTTTTGTATTTCATCACCTTATTTGCTACCCGTCCATGAAATTTTCTTTCCATCTTGTATCTAATGTTGCTAATCACACTTAAAATATGGAAGGTGATTTTTGCATGTGATTCTTTGATAGAAAGAATCCTATTATTTGGTGTTTCAATTTTTGTTGGCTAGTTTTGGTAAGTCTATGACTAATGGCTAGAGGTTGGTAAGTTGAGATTTATTTGGGACATTTTTGTAAGTTTCCGAAAATAAATACTTAATAAAATAACTATAGTACAGGCAAACTGATCAGGACATTATCATTTAAAAAAGAAAAAGAAAAAGAAAGAAAGAAGCTTTTAGGTGTTTGAATGAGTCAAGTGGGATTGATACAATATGTCAGTATTGATATATTTGTTTATGACACAATAAATGGTGATTTTTGTGTGTTTTTCATTGGGGAAAAAAGTGACAGTTCCAATACGCAACAGTTGAATTATTCAATTATTATTTGAGACTCTTATTTATGATTTTCTATAGTTGGTTATTTTGAATTATTGCAGTATGGGTGGTCAATTTGTAAGCAAAGGATCTATATGGATTTTGAAATCATTCCACTGTTGTGATACAATTATGATTCAATCAATCAACTAAATCTATGTACTATAAATCTTTTGTATTACGTATAAGTCAATCACATCGCACCCTTTCTCCTTTAATTATAATTCGCGAAACTCAGCATGTACAAATACACATAAATAAATGGAATAATCATAAATTTGTATTGCATAACCCAAAACACAAAGAAGTGAACCCGAAAATCATGGCAAAGCGATAAGTATTGATCACTAAACCGTTTCCTACGGACCTGCAAAATTTCAAGCCAAATGGAGTCCGTTAAAAAGATTTTATAAAATCAGCATTGTTAATACATACGAAAAAGTGGATATAATTATAAATTTGTGTTACATGACCCCAAAATACGAAAAAATAAACACAAAAATCATGACAAAGCAATAAGTGGATATAATCATAAACTCGTATTGCATGAACTTGAAACGCCATAAAATAAACCCAAAAGTCATGTCGAACTAATGAGTTATTGGTCACTAGGCCATTTCATATGGACTCACGAAATTTTATGCCAATCGGAGTCCGTTATTTTTTTAATATAAAATTAGCGGATGTATTTATAAATTCGTATTGCATGACTTTAAAACACTAGAAAATGAACTCGAAAATAACGGTGAAGCAATGAGTATTCGTCGCAAGGTCGTTTTCAATGGACCTAAAAAATTTCTGGCCAATCAAATCCGTCAAAAACTTCAGCATGTACACGAAAAAGTGAATATAATCATAAATTCGTGTTGTATGACCTCGAAACACTAGAAAATAAACTCAAAAGTCATGGCGAAGCAATGAGTATTGGTCACTAGGTCGTTTCCAATGGACCTACAAAATTTCAGGCCAATCAAAGTGTGTTAAAAAAATTCTGCAAAATCAATATGTACAAATATATACAAAAAAAAGTGGATATCATAAATTTGTGTTGTATGATTCCAAAACGGCAAAAAGCAAATCCAAAAGTCATGGCGAAGTTGTGAATATTGGTTATTAGACAGTTTCTTATGGATCTACGAAATTTAAGGCCAAGCGGAGTTCGTCAATTTTTCTTACAAAATTAGCATATGCTATATACACGAAAAAATGGATATAATCATAAAAGTGTCTTGCAAGACCCCGAAATGCGATAAAATAAATCTGAAAGTCATGATGAACCTCTGAATAGTGGTCACTAGATCATTTTTTAGGAACCTACAAAATTTAAGATCAATTGGAGTCCGTAAAAAAACTTCTATAAAATCAGCATGTAGTAATACACGAAA